TGTACTTGGGGGAACTATTGCCACATTACTCTGTGGAACAATAATGAACTGCGCAGAACTCCGATAGCAGTGAAAAAGGTTTGTGGAAAACAGTCTCACCCCTCGTTGCCCCTACCATACGCTAAGTTAAAAACAACTGCGGGAGGGTCCGGACGTAGAGCGGAACTGGTATTCATGTGCCGATCACCTGGTGCACTCGGTGTCTGCTTAATTAGCTGGGACCTTAAACTGCTGAGAGTTACCGTAAGGCAGCAGCAAGACGCAGCCACGTCAGCTTGGCTCTCGTTCTGGAGAATCGACTTCGCCTTAGTTGATGCTTGTCACGAATGTGAATAAAAAAAGACGAGAATACGCGCGGCGTCAGTCGCGTTCTCTTTGCTCTCCAATTCAGCAAGCATGTGGGACCTTCGCGCGCGCACACACACATACGCCCACTTAACCAATTACCTTGGCAAACTGCGATATTGTGCGCAAAGAAACCCCGTCATCAGGTGAAAGACAAGCCATATATATGATAGGCGTGTCTCCTGTGACAGAGAAGTTGTGATACTCGGCCGGACCGTCTGAATGCCGGGATTTGTTACTATAGTCGTGTTGACGACTGACATTCCCATCTAACCAATGAACTTACAGATATTATTGCCGCAAAGAATGCTGCAGTCCTTAGCCTACACGAATCGTTAGTATTGATCAGATCTTGGCGTTCTCGTTGGTCTCCCGTTTACTGTCCCCGAGTTAGCCTGCAGGTCTCAGCTAAGTAAATTGAAAGAGTAACTACTAACCGATCCTCAGTCTGATCAACAGCTGGCAACCGAGAGCACGAAAAAAACACTAGCCGAGACTACACATAACTTTCTAGCCCCTGTGCTGCTTAACAGTATAGAGGGGAAGGAGGGTATTTCAAGCCCCGATTATTGCCATATAAGCTTGATATAGGACTAAAAGATAACTGGAATTAGACTTTTTCCATCACAGGGAAAATAGAGTTTAATTAGGTGTGCCATCGAGTGTGCGTCCTACGTTGAAATGGTCGCATTGGATATAAAACCTGGCAAACCATAAGACAGCCCAGATTCACTATTTTATTGGCCACCCTTCTAAAACGGACATTCATTCTTTGTACTTTTGTTCAGACCCCCAAGCGTTTCCGAATAAATGCGAACGACCGCGTTCTAGGTGCAGAAGCAAATAAGAAGGCTAATCGAGCATCAAAATAGTCTGTTTATTGTTGAGCTTTCAAACTAGTACGCGAGTTCGTTGTCAGAGGTAACCCTAGTAGCAGCTCAGAATATTTAACTGTTCCGACACTCGACTAGCCTTCTCCTTTACTTCGTACCGTTTCGAGAAACCGTTTCAAAGCAAAATTTCACTTGCGGCTTATAAACTTCAAGGCAGATTCCCCGGGATGTTTCGACCATATACAGGCGAGCTATCTACCCAGAGACGAGATGCACCAGCCTCGTTAATTCGAATGATGAATTCGTATGTGTTCCTATTAACTTCTACTTTCGAAACCAGAGTAAAACAGAATCTAATGCCGAACTGGAAGTCTCCCAGAACATTGGGTAATAGAGCG